ATATATATATATATATATATATATATATATATATATATATATGCAATGCATGTATGTTGTTATTGAAAGATGTTACATTTTGAATAACTGCTATTTTGTGATTTATTTTTCTCAAATGTGAGAACTGCACCTTTTATTTTAATAAATAATCCATTTTGGGGTCTAAACAGAAAGCATCATCTGGCCTGTACGCTACGCTTCAACCAAACTATCTCTTCTGCCATCTATGGGAAAACCCCTCAGAATGGGACTTAATAATGAACAGGCTAAATAGCCAATCAGCGCCTTAGAAAGGAATCTTTGGCCAATGTGTGTCAGAGAGCGCAACAACGTCACACGTCAACTGTGGTGAGGTCGTCTCCTGTAAATAATAAAGCGCACAGATGCAGCGGTACAGCGTATTCTATCACGTATTTATTTATTTTGGATTGGTTTATCTAAATGCTGCAACAGCATGTAAGAAGGTGGCAGTCTTCTGCCATCCCGCTTACTGTTAACCTGTTCGTTAGACTAAGTTTAGCGTGACACTTAGTTGGTTGCAACGCTAGCATTTGCTAACCATCTAGCTAATCAGAGGTTATTACGGGAGGAATATATCTTGTCTTTAGAAGCCTCTGACTAACTGGGATGGGTTTATGAAATGACAGTCATCCGTAGCCTCTAAGTGACCCGACGTGTATCAGAGGTAAGCTTTATCATCTCGCTGGCATTAAACGTAAAAGATTATTGGATACATCTTAGCCACTTGCCTCTTATAAAGGGCCTTTGACTGACAGCTATAGCTGTGTCACTCAGCTACTTTACTTGAAAAGAAAAAAATAATCTACTGAAACGAATCATAATATTGCTTTTTAGTTAGCTGGAATACAAAGTTGAAAAAATCTCCTCTGCTCATGTCATGTCGAAATAACTTTAAGCTATCTGAGTATCATATGTATTACAGTGTTGGCTTGTTACGGTTTAAATGTTAATGGATATATTGTGGTTTATGAAAACGACAACATTTCCCTTAACTCGGTGTTGTCATTTACATTTGCTGGCCTCGCTGCAACAAATGACGGATGTAGTTGCAGGGTGAGCTCATAACTGAATGTCAGGGGAAATCCACCAGTCTGACAAGAGTCCTGCCCTGAGTGTCAGAATAAGTCAACTGTCTTCTCATGGCTTATTTTTAGTGCATTCAAATTAATAGTCAGCATGTCGCATTACAAACAGGACATGACTGGGTTTTACAGAGTAAATACAACCGGCCCATTAGGAGCTATACTGACATTTTGCAAAGTGAGATTTAGGGGGTACTGTGCCATTAAATATTAATGGTAGCTGGCAACATGTCATGTAGTCAGTAATTCTCTTTAGGCAGCCATTTCTGTTCAATTAAAACTATATCCATTTATATGTTCTCTGGTTTTAGACAGCAGTTTTAGCCAGGTAGTCTTCTTTAAAATAATTTATTCACCTTTTGTGTGTGTAGAAAGAAGAGGTGGAAGCATTATGTAGAAATGCAGAATTGTATTTTTGGAGAAGCATTGCTGTTCCTAATCTGGACCTGTACATTTTTACGTCCTTATTTCACATTTACTTTTGTCTACGCGCTTGAGAAATTTAACTTGCTTTTTTCCCGCCTCGACCTGCAAAATGTTAGTTATCCACAAAAAGAAAAGCTCACATATATTTAATATTCTCTTAAAGAGTTTCAGAAAACTCTTTAGAGGATTTTCTGTTAGATTTGTCAAACCACGATTCAGATTTTCTGTCTGAGTGTTCTTTATTGACTTGAATCTCTCTTAAATGTCCTGCTTGTCGTGTTTCACTCCAGACCACAGGTCAAGCTTGCCTTGGCGCTGGACATCCTGCCTACCATGCAGGCATGAGCTCTGCCCTGTGGAGCCAGGAGAAGCCCAGCGGGGGCTTCAGGGAGGACTGGCGCTTCTACATGGTTGTGAAGGAATGCACTGTGGAAAAGCCTGCCCAGAAGACCCTGAGGATCCCCCGTGGGAGTCTTGGCCAGGCCTGCCAGGAGCGCAACAGCCTCGGGCGACCACTGCCCCCATGTAAGGGCAAGAAAAGTCTCCGCATTCTGGACCAGACCAACGTGGTGCTGAGCCTGGACGAGCGGGATGTCCTTGAGTTGGACGAGAAGCTGGCTGAGCTGCTGTTCCCCATCACCAACTGCGAGGAGCGATACGCCCTGCTCTGCGACAAGTCACGGCTACAGCGCGTCCGTGACATCGACTGCGGCTCCAAAGTGCGCGTCCAGCTGCGGTCAGGAGACGAGCCGCTGCCCGGTGTGGTCCGGTTCAAAGGCTCGCTGCTTCCCGACAGAGCCCTGTCAGGAATCTGGTTTGGAGTGGAACTGCTGGTGAGAATCTGCCCAGCTTTTATTTCTAAAACACCTCCTCACACTTACTTTGTGTTGGCTCTGTCATGATCGCAAGACCCCTTCTAGACAATTTCATTTACATGTTGTCCACTTTCTTAAAAATGACCTGGTTTAAGCTATTTAAATGTGAGGTTTGAAAAATGGGAGAATTCGGGCACTACATAGCTCAACTGGTCGAGCATGTGTGCCATGCTCAGAGGATGTAGGTGGCCTGTGGCCCTTTGGTTCATGTTTTCACCCACTTCTTGTCTGCCTACTTTCAAATAAAGGCCAACGTTGCTTAAAAAACCCCTAAAATAAAAGAAGGTTTTGCCCCCCCAAAAAAGCAGCAGTGAAACCAAAAGTGAGATTAGCTACAATGAGGATTGACTGATAGTGTGAACGTCCTCATTCCACCTTCTGCACAAAGCAGCGCAGCAGAGGTTAAAGGCAAAGCTGAACATTCTGATCCGTGCTGCTTTTGTAAATAGAAGCTGTTTGCTCACAGAAATGTCGGACACTGTACAGACCGTGTAATGCGGCCATTTCTCACACATGCTGTTCTCACTAGCAGGAAGTTTTGTGAGGGAGATTTCCCTCCTGAATGGAACAGGTGTGTGCAGAGGGCAGCACGGGATGGTTAATTTACACTGTGGAATCATTCAGTTTCCTTAAAGGCTCCTCCTTGGTTTGATATGAATCCACAATAGCAGGGAGCAGGAAACATGTCAGCAGAAAAGATATACCCCGCCAACGCACAGACACTTACACACACACACACACACATGCTCAGCGGCTAACGCTTCAGAATAATTGCTGACAGGTTTGCACATTGTCTCATCCGCTGATGTTCCAGAGGTTTTACGAGGGGGCCGAAAGGGAAATCTCAACAAGACGTCTGGTCTACCACCCCAGAACATCTCAAAAAACATTACAGTGCCTTTGTGTGAGCGTCCCCAGCACCATTTTCTCTCTTTGTGCACTGTGCTTTTAGATAAAGATGCAGGGATCTTTGATGTTTGGATTGGAAAAAAAAACCTCAGTTATTTTCCATAAATCTAAAGTAGCATGGCCAAATCAAAATGCTTTCCAAAGACAGAGATGGGCTTGTAGGGGTGGTCGCTTTTACTGAAAGTCGGACAAAGGCGCAGTGGTTTAACTGATGTGATTAACGAGCAGATAATGGAAACATTTGAACTAAGCTTGCAACACGGAATCCGAGTTCCTGATTTTATGCCATTCATGCTGGGCTGTATGTACAGCACAGAGAGTAACAAAACACAATGGGGGGCTTATTGCAGCACAATGCTGTATTTATTCCACTGGGTCCAGCTGTGGTCTTCTCGAGTGGGCTGATGGACCTAAGCATGCAAAGTGTAGCTCCGCATGAATTCCATGCTGTCTGTGTAAATGCTAAATGTTAGTGCTAATGTTCGGAGCATGTGTTTAAGGCAAGGTACACAGTTTGTTTTCAGAGAACAGCCTGCGAGAGCGCCAGAAAATGTTAATGTAACTGCACTGGCAGTAAGTCAAGTCACATTTTTGCTGCAGTAACTGATCAGGTGATCTCACAACTTCAAGATCTTGACTTCCCCTCGCTGAAGGATACGGAACGAGCAGCCTCCTTACCTGCCCTCCTTTTTATGACAAGACATATCCCATCCCTCTCGCCCCTGGTCTGCCTCACTCTAAATCTCTCTGCTTGTTTCCTCTTCCTGCCGCCTTCCTGTCTCAGGAGGAAGGCCGGGGCCAAGGCTTCACGGAGGGCTCCTACCAAGGCCGGCAGCTCTTCCGCTGCGAGGAGGAATGCGGCGTGTTTGTGGCCCTGGACAAGCTTGAGCTCTGGGAGGATGACGACGGCGAGCTGGAGGTGGATCGCGGCAGACCGCCTGAAGACGATCAGGACTTCCCTCCGCTCGAGATCAGCTCCAGGGTGGTGGTGCAGACCAGGGAGGGCCCTGAGAGGGGCACCATCATTTTTTGTGACCTGCTACCGGGAAACGAGAGCCTGGGCTACTACGTGGGAGTTGACATGGTGAGTGAGGCTCCAGTCAAACGGTTGCACAGTGCAAACTGGTATTTATCCGGCCAAAAGCACGATCCAGCCAGATAGTTAGACACTTGAGAAATGGTTGACTGAGATATTTTTGCATCTGGAATGTGAATTGGCCACAGTCCTCAGTCTAAATGGGGTGGACTAATAATTCTGGCCGGCAGTGGGTTGTTGCCTCATGTGAAGGAGTTTGAGCGGAACAAATTGGCCACCGACGGGTGGATTGGGCACTGACTGCAGTGGTGTGGTCACCTGCAGGCCGATGATGTGAGGAGACAGCAGAGTTGTAAGGTGCTCAGTGTCTTCTTTGATGTATTTTGCAACACACCCTCACGTTCATGTGTAGTGACTGAAAGAATGATATTGCCCAAATGTAGCATAGATAAGGGCTGTAGTCATTCAGGCAGGTCTCAGACTTTGGGGCTTCCCCTCATCGAAAGCCGCCTGTCAAAGTGGTCGCAAAATACGTTTGTTTTGCTCCTCTTGACTCCTCCCATTGGAGATTTTACAGGCATACTTTGGGGTGGGATGGCTCACAACCCGCCAATAATTCTTTACGAGACAGAGAGAGCAAGTTTTTTTGGCTGGATTGAGAACACGCTGGAGTCCCTCCAGACTGTGCAGTGTTTGACTGGTGAGACGGAGGCCTGGGGATCTATGGGCGAATTGATATTGAAACACCAAATCTTTTGCCTGGCTTAATCCATCCTGTTGTAAGTTGAAGAGGTGTGTTGTTGCTTTGGATCGCAGTGGTTGGGTCTCTATGGCTACAGGCTGGAGTGGTGCGGTAGTCATAGTGAAATTGAAACGCGAAGCTGAGGCGTTTGACTGCTGAACATTAGCAACAGCAGCCGCAGCAGTAGCCCACTCAGTGCATCTGAGCCTCCCACACAAAGGCTAGGCAGTCACGCGGGGAGTGAGGCAAAGACTTCGGGCTGTATGACCCAACAGCATGGCAAGGGGCCAGCAGGCAGCTGAGGAGAGCCCACTGCTCTGCCTCACTCTGCGTCCAGCCTCACCCTGCCTACTTTAGATGTGGCACTGGCCTCAAACTAATCTTAGATTGTCCGTCTGGAGCAGAATCTTGCACTCCAAGCTGAAAAGGAAGAAAAGTAGGATTGCGCTTGGAGATGAAGCAAAGCTTGTAAGGGGGAGGACCTGAGCTGGAAGATCTGTTGTGTAGTGGGTGAAGATGAGATAAACACTTTTGGATTGTTGTGGAGGATTACGCCGAGGCATCTTCAGGTTAAGTTCAGACCACTGACCGCGCTAGACGTCGGACAGATACAAGTGGAAGCAGCGCTTTGTGGACCCACACACGTGCATTACAGGGGCATTACCGAGATGAGGAGCACCTGAGGGTTACTAGGTCGTCATGTCTCCAACTCTTTCAGGACAATCCTATCGGAGACTGGGACGGTGCGTTTGACGGGAAGCTGCTGTGTAATTTTGCCAGTTTGGAGCACACTCGACTCGTCCCCATCTGCGACGTAATGCCAGGTGAGTCATCCTCCCTTTGTCCAGCACGCTGATCAAACTTTTCACTCTCTGGAAAACATTCAGCCGTCCCTCCCTCAGACAAGACAGAGCCCAGCTCCTTCTGAGCAGCGTTTGAGTTTGTGTTCCATTTGCAGCAGGAACAGAGAGCCTTTTGTGGCCATGGCTGACTTGTTTTTGAAAGTCAAGTGAGATGCTTTGGCTCTTTGTTCTCTACAGTGGCATATTGATTTGTTTACGTGTGCTACTGCCACTTCTATGATCCCCTTAGGCCTGCTTTCAGGAACAGTGAACGTAAACAGTTTAGTACATTTCTCAACTTTCTTCAGGTTCATATTCATAATGCTTTCTAAGATTTTGGCAGCTGATAGTCCAGAGGATTCTTATCCAACGTTTGGAAGTGTAAGCTTACTACACTGCCAAACTCAGCACCATACGATGGAAAATGAACCTCAATTTATACGCTGTGGCACTTAAACATGAGTTTTGTTTTGTGCCTCTAATGTGGATGTATTTTTATGTGCAGAATATTCCATGCAGGACCAAAGGCTGCAAAAGCACAGTTTTGCCCCCAGAGGCACCAACAGCGACAAGTCGTCCTCTGGCCAAAGCAAACCAAAGAGCAAAGGTACTGCTCAGTTGTTTTGATGCTAAGCTAACTGGCATGCTTAAACCTTTGAGGGAGTATGATTTTTAAAGGGACATTCCATCAAAGCGGTATGTTTGTGTCAGTAAAAATAGAATTTGAACTTTTCTCCAAGTTCCGCAGATTATGACAGATGTCCTTTCACAGACAGCTCTGGACGGTTTATGACAGGCGAAGCGACAAGCAGCATCCCACACACCACTTTTGATGGAATGTCCTAATAGAGAGACAACAAGAGAGGCCTTAGTTACTTTCGCTGTCCATAAAACATGAGTTATCCCTCTAGCAGCTGCTTGGTTGTGATATGAATGCAGTCTTTGCTTGCTGTGACTCTTCTTAAATAATCCCTAATTTCTCTGTTAAAACCTAATTTAGACACACACTTTAATACAGAAAGCTTATCTGCGTGTTTTTTTTCCTTTTTCTTTTTTTTCCTTTGTACTTTTGCTACTTGCAGGATTAGGTCATCAGTGTGGCAGTAGAAGCAAGTCTGAATTTTACTATACTTTAAATGGCAGCTCTCTTGATCCCCCTGTCCAGCCCAAATCCAAAAGCACATGGTACATTGATGAAGGTAAAGCTGGTACCCATGGGATGTCATCCATTTTACTGGCAAGCTCCTGTACACAACAAGCTACATAATGATATTTTTATTGATTTCTTCTGGACTACTTATGTCCTACCAGACATATTTATTCTGGTACTGTGTATTTTCTAAATCAAGGTGTCCTCAAAGGATCAACACCGATCAAGGATTGAGTCAGCTGGTTGGAATAGCTTGAATTCGGTCTCTCCAAACTCTGCTTGAAGAAAGTAGTTGTTTGCTACTTACATGAAGATTCACTTAGATGGGCTGAAATGTATCTAAGAAAGAGTCAGAGCTCATTAATCCAGTTAAATGTTTTTTCTTTTGAGCGTTTACTTCTGTAACTGTAGATTGGCTGTGTTTGACAGCTTAGTTTAAAAAAGATACAGGTTTTCAGCATTTAAAAAAACAAAACTTTATTTCGAGGTTTTTAATTTTGAAAGAACAATACAACTTGTACCCATTAAAATAAAAAAAACAACAATATATATTATGGAAAATATAGGTTTTTAAAATATATTTGACTTACTTAGAAAAGAAGTAAAGTAAATAAATAAGTAAGTAAATAAATCAAATTAAAAATAAACAAACCAGCCAAGAAATGATTATATAAACAAAACAAATTCACATGTTACGCTGTTTCACATAAATACCAAGTTCTTTCAGCAATTGGGCATTAGTGTCGGTTTATAAGTAGTACGAAGTTTACAGCGGGTCCAGGGCTTGTAATGGTAGTTACTCTAAATATTCAATGAAAGGTTTCCACATTTTTAAAAAGTCATGATATTTGTTTTTCATGACATAAGTGATTTTCTGTAATGGTAGACAGGATCTCATTTCTGATATCCATTTCAATACAGACAGGGTGGAGTTTTTCTTCCAGGTCAACACAATACATTTTTCTGCAAACAGCCATGGCTACCATAATTAATTTCCTGTAGCTCTGGCTCAGCTTTAGGTTATCTACCTTTCCTAGTAGACATTGTTCTGGATCTAATGGAATTGGGATATTCGTGATTTGTGTCAGTGTGCCACATATATCATGCCAGAATGTAAAGGCTTATTTTATTTGATAATTTTTGCAAATGGAGGAAATATCCTTGATTTTACTCAAGAAAAACATTTATCATGGTAGTGTAACAGCGTAACACTCTTTGTACCCATATAAAGTCCACAGAGAAGAAGCCCAGTCAGTGGTTTGTTACAGGAGCTTGCTATGACTACCTCTCCACTCGTCTTGCCCTTCATCACCATTTAAGTGTTTTATTCTCGCCCGCATGGAGTAAAACATTATTTAAAGCTTTTATTAATGCTCAGATTTGCAAGTGAATCCTTTATTGTCCATATGTTTTTCTGCAGGTTCAGTTGCCGGATTTAAATTTGAGTGAAATTAAATTGCATTCGGGAGCATTAGTAAAAGTTTCAGGTGCTGGTGTCGGCACATTCTCTCATAGTTTTTGTGTCTTTATGTGGGTGAAGGGGCCCATCTTAGATATTTTTGGTGTTTTTCTTCACTGCTTATGTCATTATCATCTTTTACCAGTTGTGAGGCTATTTGTTTTTTTGCCCAGTGAGAGATAACTATAGATGTTTGTCTCGCATATGACATGTGAGCTGTGAATAAACCTGTATGTGTACAATCGGGATGACTGTGGCATCGTCTGCCATGGCAAAACCAAAAAGCCTGCGGGCTGCCACTTCAGATTATCTCTTTCCTTCTGTACTGAAGTCATAAATGCTGACAGGCTGTTTTCACAACTGCTTACTCATCCTGTGAATTTGTAATCATCATCATCTTTCTCAGGGTCTCTTCTCACATTTTGGGATTTATTGTTTTTTTCTTTTTGTATGGTTCTGGCACTTTCATTATATATTGAAGTCCGCAGAATGCAAAATCAATTTCGTATTTATATATGTATCTGATCAGAATTCAAAGGCAGCACAGTGAAACAGTGATGCAACGTGTTAGCTGTAAAAAAAATGTAATTACATTCTGTAATTACATTCTATACAAAGCAGAACACAATCTCAAAGTCCAAATTTAGCTTGACTTTGATTCAGGTCTGTGTAATCTATTCAAAGCGTAATATTTGTATACATTAGATGTTAAACTTCATGTTACAGGCTTAATACTTAATGGCATTCTTCTCTGAGTCTGACTAACTGGGAGAAGCAGAGAAGCTGAACCATATTAATTAGAATCTTGCAAATTTCATGAAAACCACAGGATAGTAGTTTAAACATCTCAATTCTGTGAAGGGTGGCTTTTTAAGTTTGCATTTTTAGCTTGTGGGCTGTTTTTTTTTAATTCATTTTCTTTTATCTTTTTTTTTGGCTGGATTTTTAAATTCCCATTAAATCATAACAATCTTTAGTTAGAGCGTAAGAGCCCAGGAGCGATTTATAAAGTTGGTAACTTGCACCTTACACATGTACAGTAGTAATAAAGATAAGTATGATTAGCTCCACAGAGCACATCTTGCCTTAGCAAACAAAGCATGACTCGAAGGTGTGAGATATCTGCATGAACAGATCATTTGATTTTGCATTTGAATTTCATAGTGATTTTTGTTTCTTCATTATGTCAGTTCCAACACATGTTCAGGTTTCTTTCAGAGCACCAGATGGTGAAAAGTGTGTGCAGCGTCTCAGCTCAGGGCATTTTCACATTTAACCAAGTCCACAAAAATGTCCACTTTTTCACTCAATTTTTATATTTGGTTTATTCAAAACATCTGAGATTTACTTCTTGATTAGTTTAAAAATAGATAGGACATTGAAATATGACACTTAATGAGGTCTAGAGAGTCCATTTCTTTCTTTTGCAACATGTGTAACATACGGCTGAAGACACAGAAAACTGAAACACAATACTGTCCCAGGGAGTTCTTCATGCAGCACGACAAAACTACAAGAGGGTGCAATCTCACAAACCGGTACTTCCCCAAAGCCGAAAGCATTTCAGGCCAGTCTGTGATTCAACTCTTTCTTAAGGGTGTGGAACAACAGTCAATTCATTCGATGAATTTGTCTGTATTTTGAGATGCCTGGCGTTATGCATTTTGTGTACATTCCTGTTCAAACTGATAAACTGATGTGGTACCCCACCCTTGGGAAGAAAGGAAGACTAGTTATGGTTTAGATGGGTTTTGATGGACCTAAAGCAACATGGATACAGTCGTCTAGTCATATTTCAAATTCTCTAGAACTAGTTTGACTGAGACTTTGACCTTCAACATACATCGAGGCTCTGCAATAACTATTTTGAGAAGAAGGCAATAATGGCGTGCTATCAGTCCTATCATGTTTACCTAAGTCACCCAGACTAAAGTCTGTAAAACCTGTTTGGCACCATAGGGTTTAAAACGCACGAATAAAAGTAATTGATAGGATGCAGAGCTGTGAGCACAGTGTGAAGAATCAAAGCTGTCAAGTCAGGATCGTTAAACTTTGTTTGGGCGTTATGTGCTTTGGAAATTTCACAACGGTGTTAGAACCTGTGTTGGCTCTATTAGGACTGTAATAAAGGTTACCTGACAGGTTTTTGTCAAAGTGAAGATTATAAGGAGGACACAACCATTTGTATGCAGAGGTACAAGTGCCCAGAGGCATGGTGCCATCCATTGTTTAAAAATGGGAAGTAGTTTAGAATCACAACCACAATTTTTGAGAATTGAGAAATCAGGGATGAATCACTGTTACAAAGGGGATTCTTAAATAAAGATGACCCAGCGGCTTTCCATAAATAGAAAAAGTAAATAAAAAAGAGGTTGAATTGTCAGATGCCCCATTTTCTACTAAAAGGGACACATTTAAGTACATGGATAGAATTTCCCCAAATTCTTCACTCATGTCATGTTGTACTGTGATGAGGTAGACGCATCCGGGGTGAGGCTTTTGCAGAAGCCTATGTTCCAAAACTACAACAACCCCGAAACACGATGGCAAGAAAGTTCTGCAGCAGTCTCAGAGCGACCTAGATCCGAGGTTGACCTGAAACAAGCTGTGCATTGATATTTCTCGTCCGGCCGGCACTAGCTGGAACCTCTCTGCCAAAAGGAATAGGGCTGCTCTCAGTGGAAGGATTAGCCACAATTGTAGGATAACATTACAGTCTAGGTATAGCCCACAGTGAGCATGGGCAGGTGCCTCTGAAGTTCTTACTGCACACATTTGAGAAAAGACGATGATTTGAACTGGTCTGGTTGAGTGAGAATGCCCTGCGCTTCTGAGACTATACATGCAGTCACCATCTGCTGACTGATGTTTCTGTTCTTACATTGCCGGCTGACTTTTATTTTCCAGGGGATGAATGATGGAGGGTGTGTGGGTTTAATTCATACATGTTTTCCTGTGTTTGACCAACTCAGCCTACAAACAGGGACGTATGTAAAGCTCTGGTTTCTGGCTTGTCCCCCTGCAGTTGGAGAGGATCCCGCCAAGTCTCTTACTGACACCCCCCCCGACTTCAACCAGTCCCCCCCCCCCCTCCAGAGCCCCCCCCTCTTCCTCACTGTCCAGTGACAGCAAGTTCCACTCGCTGCCCTTCAGCTTGAATCGCAAGACCGGTCCCATTGACAGTATGAGTCATGGGCCCCTCTCCCTCTCCGTCCAGTCTGTGATGGGGGAGCAGCCTGAGTCCTCGTCGCCTGCTGCCCCCACCTCTCCCCGTCCTCCAACACCCCCCCGAGGACAGCCGGGGCTGGAGGTGGGCTCCCTGGTAGAGGTGAAGGAGAACCCTCCTCTGTGTGGCGTGATCCGTTGGGTGGGTCTGCCCGCTGGCCTGTTGGAACCTTTGGCTGGGCTGGAGCTGGTGAGACCTCACAACAACCTAAACAATGAAATCAAGACGGAAGATAGAGAGTTTTCACATGCAATTAATGCAAAAACAGACACACTGATGTAATCTTGTGATTGATCCACTCCTGTCTTTTATCTATTCAACACCTATTGAATACTCTGCTCTGACTTTTCACGCATATTAATCTGTGGGTTCAGGTACAATTGGTGCTTAAAGTGCGAAAATTAGATAGATTTTTTTTCATATACATATATATACTTTCTTTTCCATTACCTCCTTTTTGGTTTCTGTTCGGCAACATTTTTGTAATGTGTGACATTACGATAGACTTTGTAAAATCTACGTGAAGGGGAAAAGAAAGACAAACTGTGGTTTTAGCAGGGGTTTTTTTCACCACAAGTTTCCTGAGCTTAGCTGAGTGACTTCTTGATTTCATTCCTGGTTTATTTTACAACTCTGAGTAGGGGAAGTCACTGCATTTTGACATTTTGAATTAATATAAAGTTCAAGGAAAATGCCAAATATTAGAAATTGTAGACCCATTTGAAAAAGGCTAAAGAAAAAGTGAAATAGTACATCTTGGTAATGAGATCACGATGACTTTTCTTTCAGGAAGAAGAGTGTCCCGGTTGCACTGATGGTACCTTCAAAGGCACTCGGTACTTCACCTGCCCACCTAAAAAAGCTCTGTTTGTGAAGCTCAAATGCTGCCGGCCTGATTCCCGCTTCCCGTCCCTGCACCACTCCTCCAATCCCATAGAGCGATGCAACTCCATCGGTGAGTCCGCAGGAGGTTCTCCTCCATGCTAATTTATTTTTTTTCCCCTTCAACTTTGACCTATGGGCCTCATGTATAATATGTATAGTTAACATTTGTGAGTAATTAATTTGGACCTTCAGAACCAAATTACAAAGAATCTTTTTGAATGCATAGTTTCAAATTTTAATTACAAATTTCCCTATATGAGGAATATACTCCTGTAGCATGGCAGAATCTATTTATCAAACCTTTAAGGTCCAGCTTATCCCAGACATTTTCAAGAAAGCAAGAATGCACACCAAATAAGAACGAGTCTCAGGAGGTTAAATATTAACTCTTGTTGCCATTATATCTGTTTTTATTTCTACAATTTGTGTCTCGTTGTAGCATTTGGAGGTTACTTGAGTGAGGTAGTGCATGAAAACACACCTCCACGCACAGAGAATGACGGGCTGGATGTCATGGTGGGTAAAAAGAAAGGCATTCAGGGCCACTACAACTCCTGCTACCTGGACTCTACGCTCTTCTGGTCAGTGCTCATTCTGCCTCCAACACACCATAATCATTGAGCACGGCTTTGTCCTTTTTCTGGCCACTGATGCTGTTTTGATGCTGAATCTCTTTGCTGTTTGTTTTGCTGTGCAGTCTATTCTCCTTCAGTTCCGTACTGGACACTGTCCTGCTGAGGCCGCGATCGAAGACTGACGTAGAGTATTACAGAGAGACCCAAGAGCTGTTACGCACAGAGATCGTTAACCCCCTGCGCATGTAAGGCTCGGTACACACCCACACACACACTGTTTATTGTCTTATTTGTGAGTTAGATTGGTAAAATGCTTTATATTTAAGCTCATTCATTCGGAAATAGACAGCATTTAATCAGCAAGTATAGTTGTATTTATTGATTTATTTATTAGTGGAGCTGATATCACTGAATTGTACATGGCAACCTTTACATGCTCTGGACTCCCTCTGTCTTTGTCCCTCAGACATGGGTACGTTTGTGCCACTAAAGTGATGAAACTCAGGAGAATCCTGGAAAAAGTAGAAGCTGCCTCTGGGTTTACCTCTGAAGAAAAAGGTCCACCTTTATTATGACTTTTTCTATACACATCCTCATGATGTTCTCAGGTCTTTTATAGAGGTGCTAGTTTATTTAGCACATACAAATCGAGAATGTGTATTTATGTTTGATCATTTAAAAACAGCACCTAAAATTGATGACTATAAGACCAGGTTGACATAAACAAGGGATTGCAATATTGTTTACAGTTCTAACATGATGCTGTTTTAACAGAGCAGACACCTTCCTTCACACTGTTGTTTGAACATGTAATGGCAGCACTTGCTCAGCTATATCACCTCAATTCTCTTTACATTTCACACTTTCCACTACAGATCCAGAGGAGTTCCTTAATATCCTTTTTCATCATATATTGAGGGTGGATCCATTGCTGAGGTTAAGGTAAGGGAAAGCAGAGCTATGCATGTTATTTAGCATGTTGTAGCTCACATTTTCTCATGAATTAGAATATAAATAAATGCTCATAGTGTCAATGCCTTTATTTTCTTTAAGGTTTGGAGAAACAAAATTCGTCAAATATTGTACATAGTGTCATGACCATGTCCCTTAAATGTCAAGTTATTATCAAGCTGCAAATGCCATTCCAAACATGCCATATGATGTTTTGGAAAAGAAATGTCCTTTAATTTTTTATTTAAAAATGTCTTATATCTTTAGAATGCTTGCCATAAAATTGTTTTAAACTTTTTCTGAGGAGCAGATCTATGAATGTATTTGACCCGGCTCCTACAGGTATTATCTTAGATAAAAAGGTCTCTCGGGTTGTTTTTTTATTTTTATAATTGTGGTATACTCAATATAATTTCATTTAAAAAAAACTAGTCCTTTCTCTTCCATATTTATTAGCATACATGCACAATTAGAGCATGTCTGCTCTATGGGGAAGCTGCTGTGACTGGATATTGCATTTTGAATAGCTGCAGGAAAGTCCCCAGTTTATTTAAAGATACACAATACAAAGTATCAGTTTCACAAAGAATCAGGTGACATTAGAGAACTTATTTTATATTTTTATTCATTCCATTCCATCAGAAGTCTGCTGATTGCGTTGATCACGGATCAGGCAGCAGACAAATACTCACCCACCCCATCAACGTAGTTATGGTATCCGCTGCATATTTTGAAAGCGCCTGTGTCATGGTGATTACGTTAATGCACCGATGAGAGGTCTTCCTCTTTGTGCTCGAACTAAAAAAGATTGGCTCTGCCTCAGCACATGGTTGCCACACCTTGTGAACGATATATCAAGTGGTGCACAGAACAGAGGCCCAGTTCACTGATAGAAAAAGTTTCTTAGATTTTATTTTTAAACTACTTTAAAAAACATTTTTAAAAAAAGCATCAGTGAGGCCTTAAATGGGTAAATGAAGCCAGCGAATCTGCTGAATGTGTTTTATTGCAAGCTGCGCATGAACCAGCAGGTGATTACTGGTAACCTTTATCTTTGTGGAACATTTGTCTTGTCAACAGCTAATGACGCAATAAGCTTTGATTGTCACTTCACTCCATTTAAGAGACATACACCTCCCCTGCTGCTCATTGCCTATACCTGCCTGACTCTATGGAAACTGCTTTATTCAGAAGTCTGCAAACATTTTCATGTGAAACAGAAAGGACCTGAACAATTATTAAAGTCTCAGAAAACGAAGCAAACATGCTTAAATGCTGTGTTCATTTATGCATTGAGCCAGTGTGTTATCTTGAAAATATTCTGAGCCGACGGTACGTGGTATTAATTACAGAGAACATGGGCACAACCTAAATATCTTATGACATATACCTGTCTTCGTTGCTTCTCTTGTTTTTTACCAGGTCAGCAGGTCAGAAGGTGCAGGACTGTTACTTTTACCAGATCTTCATGGACAAGAAGGACAAAGTTGAAGTTCCAACCATTCAGCAGCTGTTGGAATGGTCCTTCATCAATAGCGACCTGAAGTTTGCAGAGGTGAATTTTATTTAGTTTGAACCTTTTTTTAGCCTGAAAAGTTTTTTGTGTTTCATATCCCGACGGTTTCACTCTCATCTGTGCCCTGACTCGGTTAGTGTATATGCTGTTTTGTTAATAACTTCTTAAGTTCTCTGTTTTTCCTTACCCCTCCCAAGGCTCCCTCCTGCCTTATCATCCAGATGCCCCGCTTTGGCAAGGACTTCAAAATGTTCAACAAGATTTTCCCCTCTCTGGAGCTGGATATCACAGACCTTCTTGAAGACAGTGAGTAGTATCTATGTTTTTTCCAGTCTGTCACAGTGTTGCTCTCCCGATCTGTGCTGGATTGGAGATGTGTGGCATTTGGTAATGAAATTCCTCCCAGCTGTCACTGGAGCTCAGCTTAGGTGCGGGAGGCAATTTTTCTTGCTTTCCAGCTCGGTCTTAACTTCTAAAAGAAGTTCCAAACAGCAGAGTTTGTCAGCGGTGATAACGGCTTGTGTTTTCTTATCCAGCTCCGAGGGAATGCCGTATCTGCGGAGGCCTGGCTCTCTACGAGTGCCGAGACTGTTACGAAGACGGGGACATCACTGCTGGCAAGATTAAACAGTTCTGTGAAAAGTGCAATACACAGGTAAACAATAGAGGGCATTATTGCTGCATCAGTTCATACAAATGCAAAAAGCTGTAAGGTCAGTGTCTGAAATATCCATTTGGTGGCGCCACATCCAAAGAAACATTACCTCCATGAGGGAGATCAGTGACAGAGGACTAAAATGTTATTAAAATCATGTGACCTAACATACTTTTATTTTCCATTATCTCCCATTTGTAAACATCTGTAGTCTTAACAAATGTTTGTTTCTCCTTTTTCCTTTTTGTTGTGTGATGGTGTGTATTTACACCCACATTTAGGTTCATCTCCACCCAAGAAGGAAAGCCCATCGGCACGGCAAACTGTCCGTCCCCAAAGAGCTCCAAGATGGAACCGGGCGCCAGGGCATTTTCCCCCGTCAGAGAATGGAGCTGTTCGCCGTGCTGTGCATCGAAACCAGTCACTACGTGGCCTTCGTCAAGTATGGGAGTGCAGATTCGGCCTGGCTCTTCTTTGACAGCATGGCTGACCGTGACGGTGGGTGTCCAAAAAAACGGAGGAGCTCGGCTTTCTCAGCAGTTTTATGTGGGGAAATCCTGACGTTGTCTAGCTTTGCCATAGCTTTGAAATTTCTTGGGATAATGTATAAGAATTGTGGAGCTGCAATTAGGTAGGGTTTTTCTTACATCTGATTGATTACAAGTGATTATATTTGTAAATCAAAATAAAGTCAGCAGCATTGAATAGGTCGTATAGTATTCCGAATGGCTAAAGTAGCTGAGCAGTTCTCTGTCAGCTTTGCGGTGTCCATGGTGTTGTCTTTAATGCCGGTGGCTGTGGTTTTTGCAGGAGGCCAGAATGGTTTCAACATCCCGCAGGTGTCTCCCTGTCCGGAGGTGGAAGCCTACCTGAAAATGACTCCAGAGGAGCTGCACACACTTGACCCCAAGAGCATGCAGGGCCAGGCTCGACGCCTGCTCTGCGACGCCTACATGTGCATGTACCAGAGCCCGACCATGAGCCTGTACAAGTAGAGTTTTGCTCCCCGGCCTTGTCACCCTTCCACCCCATGCCCCTCAGCCTCTCTGCGCCTCCCCCAGGGCAAACGATCCCCGGAAGCATCCCAAAAGCGACAGACAGACTAACTGAAGAGGAGCCGCCTGCCATCAGGGGCGCTGTCCCGGAGTAAAGCTCTCCGCCTCTCCTCAACGTCCTCCCGTGTGTTGAGGCTGGGGAGATGGAAGTGAGTGGGAGACGCCTATTTGCACTGTGCATTAGTTGAAGTGTTGTGTTCTTTATGTAGTCCTATGTAGCTTTCCTGTGTCTCACAGCTGAGCATCGGTAGTGGTTAATGAAGCAGACGTAGGCATTTCTGAGGATTTCCTCCCTGTTTAGGGGAGGAAGGAGATGACTGACGGGAGGGCCCGCTGCGTCACAGTGGCTGACAAAACAAGTGCAGCAAAAACAAGACAAGCTCGTGGGAGGACCCTACTCACCTCATTTACCTTAAGAAAAGAGGAGTCCTGCTATTCTTAATCACTGTAAAAGATGGGAGCTTTCCATAATGCACATTAAGGAAGCAGCACAGCGTGAAAAACCTTATCCAACCTGTATGTGCTGTCCTAAAAAACTCCTGTAAATCTCTAAGTAGCATAGATTTCTCCAGGTAGTAACATCAACAGTATAGATGTCAGCCAGCTGTGCGGCCGCATTAAGACCAGACTATTCTGCTCTTTGTGAACTGGTTTGCATAATTCCTCATCACGCTGTGAAGATGTCTTTACAGTATATGTTCCGCAGAATAAGATGTAGCCATTGTAAAAGTCTCACGTTTCTCCTTACGCTCGCTCGACCGATGCTGCACTTTTGCTTGATTCCCAAGTGGACCTATCAGGAAACATTTAGGTTTTGTCCCCGCCCCCCCCCCCCCCCCTCCCATTTGAAGTCACAGCGAGTGCTAATTTGTCAGTTGGGAGACATCCAGAGTTTTGTTACAGAATACAAATTTGCTCCTCTGCCGTAGCTGTAAAGAATGGCCTGCATTGCTAATGCAGAGTAGATGGCAGATAAATGCATGAAGGGAGACTGGTACAATGGCTTCTGTTGTAAAGCTGGCTGGTGGAGCAATCCATGCCTTCATGGGGTCAGTGAGGTGAAAAACTGGAAAAAGTCTGGCTGTTTTCCTCTGAGGGTGGGATGTGAAGAAATGCATCGTCTCACTCATTGCATTAATGGGTAAATCTAAATGATGTTTTATGTTTACAAAGCCTTTTCTCTGCCCGTCTCGGCAGGTCTGATTTCTAAGAGAAGCAAGTGTTGACTCCCGCTGCCTTTCATCAAGGTGTGACATGTAATAGTTTCAACCTGGCACCAGATAACAAAACAGTCGTGATCCAATATTATTTATTACGATCTAATCTTACCACAAAGTCATCTGAAATTTTGAAAAAGAAAAAAGAAGTGAAACAGGGTTGATGACACTGTAAGATTTGGGTACTCCTTGTCCTCTTTCACTATTTATTTATGTTGTCTTAAAGCAACTACTGAATGTTGATAGTGACCTGTTGAGCAGTCAACAAAGGATGAAAAATGAAGAGGCACAAGGGTGGGAACTTGGGGCATCATATATGTATTTAATGAAGAACATTTATTAAAAGAGTAAAACATACTCCTCAAGTCCATTATATTCCAGTTTTACAGAGTATCCAAAGCGAACAAATACACGTGTGAAGCTGTGGTCGCTTTTAACACATCACACAGAAAACAAAACTGGATCAACAAGTCAACAAACTACACATGTTCCTATAAGCGTTCTGTATTTCTATTTTTGCTAAACTTAGACATGTCTTAATTCTGAAATTTTTAAGGCAGTTGGAAACAAATGTGTGAGAGCCTTTTCTAAATTCCTGATCCGTGTGGCTCGTTGCTCATTTCCGCAGGGATTCTGACTGACTTTCAGCACTGCTGGGGCCTGTCACTGACCGGTCTCAGAAACGAGGACAGGTTTTTGTGATGTGTAATTTTCTTTTTTTTTTTTACATTTTTGTTTTTTGTCCTTCTGTTGCATCTGTACAGTGTAGACATATGTAATGGGTGTGGAGAATTAATGTCAGTGATGTTCCTGTAAATGTTAACAAAAATAAAGCCCATTTTGAAGGGTACTCTGCAAACACACTAATGTCCAATAAGCACACAACATGAATGCATCTGGGTTGATATCTAATGCAGATCAAAGGGTCATTTTTTGCATTTTTGAGCCAGGGTTTTGCTTAAGCACGTTCTGGTAGTTGGTGTTTTACCTGCAATAGGCATTGCGCTCAGCACTCAGTGTGGAGAACTGGAGAGGAGCCAGTTATACTGACAGGAAGTAAAGCTAAAAGCCACTCGGAGAAAGGCCAGAGAGGAGCACATTTTCACCACCTGAAACCTGTTTTTGCTTGAGAAATGTTTGTTGCTCCAAGATACGTCCTGATCAGCATGATCATCACACTTTTATGTGTGGAAATAACCTCTGCTTTGATCAATGCGATTCCTCATGGAAAAAATTTGTACTATAAAGTTGAACCTTTTCTCTTTTTTTTGGGGGGGGGGGGGGTTAATTATTGGGATTTTTTTTTAAATAGTTTTCATTTTCAATGTGAATCATTCCAAAATCCCTGATCTGTGCATTTTTCCAGTACATTGCTGGAGAGATTTGATGTCTCACTGACAGGATTACAACGATCAAGCCCAATTTAGGCCTTTGGATGAAGATCATCCTCTGAGTTGTAAACATAAAAACATTATGATTACAGTTTGTTGTGCTGATAGGAGGATAAGAAAGATTAGGTATTGTCTGTTTTGCCCACTTGGTTGACTTTAGTCTTCTATCTGCCCTATATGTTTGGATTAAGTCTATCCCCAGTGACCCAGTTCTGCAGAACATCTGAGGAACCGGGATAAACGGTTCTGTGTTCTCCGGGCTCCTCCCCCACCGGAGCGCTGCTCACTACCGTACCTCGTCGGTAGTTTGCAGTCAAAGTTGAAACCAGCTCAGCAAGCTGACTTCAGAAGTGCCAGATAAGTATTTGTCAACAGAACAGCTGGCGTACAATGCCCTCTTGTAGCTTTATGCCACAGCATATGCCAGCCGCTCGTAGTGTGCGGTAATTTAGCCGAGGCTGGCTTCTACAGGAACAGATGGGCTCAAGTATTGTTATTCTCACTCCCGCTCAGGGTCCCTGGGGGGAATCACTAAATAAAATCAAAGCAGATGGACCTCTCTGGGCTAGGCTGTGTTTATGATAAACAGCCCGTACAACCAGTGTCCGTCTAACACCTTAACCCAGCTCCTCCTCACAAACCCACAATGAACGGGATTGTTGCAGTTCGACCTCACCTGCTCCGGGCTGCACCCAAACAACAGCCAAACCCAAACAAACAGGCTTAGAGAGGAAGTGCATTCTGATTATCTGTGTACGGCAGAGAGTTCCAGTCATTTAAGGCACCACCAGTCCCGCGTTACCTCCTTGACCTTAAACTGTAAAATTCTCTCAAAACAGAAATTATTTTGGTGCGGATTTGGAAATGTCTGGCTTCCCTGTTATTTCTCACTGACAGAGGACTGTTTTGTTCTTTTATAACCTTGCCAAGATCCCATTGCTGCGGTTCTCACTTCCATGCCTTTGGACACAGGCCTTGGTGGCAGTATGGTCACAGCAAACACCACGGCTTAAGGTAATCTGCTGTCCCCTGTTGTTATACAGTACATGGGAATGCACGGGAGTTCACACTTAGCATTGAACTCCAAATCTGCTTTCATTCCCATGGGAAAAGACAGCAATAAACAAAGGAATCCTATCAGTGCGGAGGGAAGGTAAACGTTTAAGGCCATTCAGACAACAGGAAAGCAGTGATTTCCGGCACTAAAGATGAAAAAGACTGGAGCATGAATGGTTTTAGGCCAATCAGTCCTAACTCAATATACCACTCTGCTGTTGTCTTAACTCCGTCGTGGTTACTGGTTTTATTTAGTGTCTTCAAAGGTCACTGTCTGATGAAGTCAAAGTAGTGTAATCAGCCTAAATGTTTATTGCCATAAGTATTAACTCTGTAGTCATTCGGTGACTTCAAGGTACCTTGAAATCGTTGCTTTAGTTCCTTTTTCCCCTTCAAGCTTCAGAACAGTTCATTTTCTAGATTGATCAGTTTTCTTGATGTGCACATCCCTCCAAAATTACACCCAGATATTGAGCTGATCTGTTTATTTAATTTGTCAGTAGAAGGACAGAGATGGCTTTTTTATGTTATTTTTTTTAAACTAAATTTGAACATAAAAATTGAATAGATATTCCAAATCTATTCTAAGAAGTGTTGCATCTCCGACAGTTCTTGAAGGCATCGCCTTCAACGAGCTGCCACTCATGATTCCCGAAGGCATCCAAAGCCCCACATCTCAGGCCACAACAGTGCCAGAAGTTGGAGAGAAATCTAATAGGTATGTACAGAAACTCTTTTTACTTCAAATGTTAAGTTGAAAATGCTGAATCCTACTATAGTTTGAACAAAGTTTCACCCGACAGAGTTTTCACAAAGGTTTCACCAAAAAGCAAATACACAAGATAATCGTGTATTTTCTTTTTAATGATGCCATCAAAAGCTATTGTATTTTAGAATGAATTATTTGAATAATTAGCAACAAATCGCAATGGTGTTTGAAAGCTTTTTCACGTTTTCAACTATTCGTGTAAAGATAAAGTTTATCTGCTTGTTGTCTGTATCTACTTTTATAACCTGTGAGAAAATCTCAGATTTTTTGCCCTCATATATATGATGTAAAAGTAGAAAATCAACTCAGCAAATAGAATATTAATTAATTCCCCTTTTTTGTTGCCATGTGATCGCTGTTTGCTCTGCAACAGGGACTTTGTTGCCTGGTCTTTTTTTGGAGTTGAGTCCATTTTGAACTTAACATTTTCCCTCATCTAAGTAAAAAGTCATTCTTTCACATTTTATGAAAAGACCTGGCCTCTTGGATGAAGAATTAATTGCCTCTAAAGCAACAGCTACCAGATGTTGCTGCTCTAAGAGCCAGGTGTGGATAAATTGCATATGCAGAATGTGTGTAAAATATTTAAAGTCGTATCTTTCACTTAGGGTGTGAAGTGCTTTTATTGCCCATCACTGCTTTGAGTATGGTGAGAGGAGAGACCAGCGGCCCCCCTGGGCCTGCAGCACAGGAGCTCTGCACCTGTGGTGTTAGGAATATGGATGCTGAGACTTGGCGTAGCATTGTGTTGTGGTGCGGTTGGTGCGTGGGTGGGGGTCCTTCCACCTGTTCGCCTTTTAAATCCCTCCTGGCTGCCACCTTTAACACTGCATTATTTACAGGCGCTCTCTGGATGAAGACACAAGCTGCTGTCTGCTTTAAATATGAATGCACGTGTGTCTTTGTGTGTGTGTGTGTGTGTGTGTGTGTGTGTGTGTGAGTGTGAGTGTGCTGGATGTCAGTTACTCTGAGAGAGTGAAACTAAGTCAGGTCACAAGTGAACGCCACAGATCCTCAGGAAAACCGAACCAGCTAAAGTACTTGTGCTGCCTCACTGGAAAGTGGCTGTGAACAGAATCTTAGAGTAGAAAATTAAATTGTGTGCAGCATTGGAACATCGAAGCTAACAGCCACTCAGAACATGATCTCCCAAAATGCAAACTTTTATTAATTGAGTATTCTTATGCTTTCTCTTAGGTAAATTGTTTTTTTATTTAGAAAAGTTTTGTCAAATAAAAAAAAGTTTTGCTTTTATTGTGCACACAACTGAGGTCCACTGTTTTCATACATAGCATACATTTTGTATTCTTCCACTCACTTTAGTGACCTCCTACTATTTAAAAAACATCACTAGAAGCTTAGATGATATCTTCAAGGGACATTCATTTCTAGGAACTTGTGGATCTAAGGACAGTGCAATGATTTGCAAAACATGTTTTCTTATCAATCTCAACGCAAGAAGTATTTCTGTGATCATTTTGATAGGTTGCTGCAATTAAAAACTATTACACAGAGAAAAAAAAGTTGCAGTTGCAGATAGTAGTTTCCTGACAAGCTGATTAGCATTTTTTTCAGATTTTCTTTAAACAGATATTTTTCAACTCAATACATTTCATACTCATAATTGACTAATGGGTGCTAATATGGTGCATTATTATTACATTAGAGGATATAATAATTACACAGCACTATAGGAATTTCCAGCATCAAATGGACATACGTATATTTTTTCAAAAAAAGTAAAGTTACTGTACTCTTTTATTTTGTACTCATTCTTTTCTTACTGTCAGCAGCTATGGCTACAAAATATCTCCGTTGCCTTCATCCGACTCTTTGCTGCCTGTTGGATGCGCGAGGTGCTCCTCGTACAGATAAACGCATAAACACTCCTTGTACCCAAACAAAAGCATCAAGCAGGCATTTCATTAGACCATTGTGTGATATGGCAGGCCGCTGCTGTGAATGTATTTATTAGTTTGCGATACATGCCTTTTCCTGTTGTTCCCGGGGCAGTGGATAATGCTGGTTTTGTTCGTGGCCCAGTGTGAGCGGCGCCTCGGCTGCCAGCTGTCAGGGCTGATACCGTCTCATTTGGATTCCCAGTCTGCTCGCTGAATGGCTAATTAGATTTGCCATTTTCAATCCACTGATTGCCGTACATAGCGGGACAAAGGAGCTGACAGCATGTAGCATTCAAATCCAACTGTAACAATTAATAACTACGCTAATTAACATGTGTGTGGGTCACCATTGATTATGACATTACCTGCAAAAAGGATGGCCTGCCCCCCTGCCTTTTCATGAAGGAGCACAGATATAAATTGTTATTAATAAACTGCTCTCTGCAGCTGAGAGGGGGTTATTAATTACACAAATTAGCCAGAGCAAAGGTAATCAAGTTAAAGCAGATTCGTTCACAATAATTGATCTAATTTTTACTGACCGTCCCTGTGTCTTGGTGTCACACGGCCCCGTGTGAAGAGAAATCACCTCATTAACAAAAGTTTAATCCTAATCATAGTTCTCGCTCTGCCTGGCTTTAAGGTCATATCTGAATGTCAGAACCATTTGAAATTGATTGGTGTTAAATTGAATCAATGTCATGTTTGGAGAAAACAATAACAGCTAATGGATGAGGCCGGCTCTCACAAAACAAACAGCTTTATCGGGTGATGTGGGAAGGTGTCAATGCGTGTGCAGAGGGAGTTTGGATCTGGTCTGCCGCTTTCATAAT